GTAAATGATCATCAAAAATTTGGTTCCCAGCTTTCAAAATAGAGAATCTAGCAGCTATTATTAGGTTGCACCCAAATGTTGCACGCCAAAAAGTCAGGTCAGCAAAACGAGCACCGCCGCTTGCAACTTGAGCTATTATTAATATTTTTTTAGCCAGTTCTTATCGCCTCACAAATGGTCGAATGCATTTTGGGCATGCACACAAATAATTTTAGCAGACTGCGGCGTATACGTAATATTTGCTGTGCGTGTTGTGTCGTGATTGGCCCATGAATGCATTACGTATACGCCTGGGATGGGACAGCTGGGCAAAAAATTTGAGTTTGCTCAGATAGAAGAGTGCTTGCATTATGCAAACTTGGCAATAAAAATTCAATTAAGTTGCCAAGGACACAATGTCAAGTGGTAGAGCTCGATAAATCAAAAAAAAACAGAAACTGTGCAACAAAAATGACATCAGCAACACCACCAACAACAACACACAGCAGTGGCAACAAAATTGTGACATGCTGTGCAGTCGTTGTGACTTTGATGCACGTTTTAATTATAATTTTGACGCCAACTGTTTAAACACACACACACACACACACACACACACAGACACGCAACGATAACACATGCAACATTTTGTGTGCTTATCTGTGTGTGTTTGTGAGTGTGTGTGTGTGTGTGTGTGTGTGTGTGCTTAGTTGTTGTTTTTGTATCGCTTGCACTAATTGTTTGGGACAGAAACTGCTGAGCCGACCAACATGTTGAGAAAGCCACAAAGCGCAAAAGATGAACGACAGACAGAGAAAGAGAGAGAGTGAGTGCAGGAGAGACAGGGAGAGAGCGAGAGAGAGTAAGAGAGGGAGGGGGGGAAGTAGAAGCTCTACATTTGGCTCGAGCTTAATTGAGGCAGCAGCTCGCACAAAGGACAATAGCCAGAACTAGCCGCAAAACACGCACACAACCAACCAACCAACCACACCAGCTATGTGTGTGTGTGTGTGAGTATGTGTGTGCACACACACACATGTGTATACGGCACATATGGGCAGCATAGTAAGTAACAAAACTAAAACGTGCAACACACACAGCCCGACCTATACACTGAGATATAAAATGCAGAATTTATTTTTTCTAATACATATTTAATGTATTTTAAATGTAAATAAAAATAAATAAATTAAAAAAACAAGTTATCAAAGTGAAAGCCAAACGGAACCGTTAAGCGAAGCTGATTCGGAAGCCAAATTTAATTTAGTATTAATCTAGATGTGAAACAAAAACATCAAAAAGGTAAAGTTATCAAAAAATATTCACAGTTTATGTATATTTTTAGAAATTTATCCAAGCATTTGTTTATTATCTGCTGGCTTGTTTTCATAATTTAAATTATCCAGGTTGATATATTTCACTATTGATTTTATATAGTTTATATATTTGTTACCAATTCATAAACCTTAGCTAACTTTACATACCGGAACCTAAGGTGGAACTTAAGTCTCACGCAACTCATAGTCTATCAATCCAGCTTTCCAATCATGTTTTTCTCAGTGTAAGCAATACTAGCAAGGGCTCAACTTGGTATAATGTTCTCAGCGCAGTGTTTCTGCCTGGGTTTGAGTTTTGGCGTTGGCATTTCAATGAGGGCGGGGAGGTGTTTGTTAGATTTATAGCCCCAAAAGCCATAAGTTTGAGTATATTGGGGCGCGAGTGGAGGATGGGGAGGATGAGGGGGTGTGGGGAAATGAGGTGAAGTGGAATGTGCAAGCTGTACTCAATTAATACTCATCAGTGTGACATTAGTGCCATTTATTTGCACAGACTGTGGCAATAGAGTGGATCAAAGACACCCTGAGATAAAAGATAAATGAGATAAACACGTGCATCGCAAATTGTATCCTCGAGTCGAGAGACGAACATGAGAATGAGGCTCGAAAGACACTTGATTCTGCATAATCGGGGCTCATTTTGCTTCGCTACTGTTTTTGACATGATTCATCAATAAATAGCACATAAATTGTGGCTGGCAATCCATCAAATTGTTTAACTCAACTTACTAGTGAAATGTGTAGCGATTTTATGAGCGTAAAAAAAAACAGCCGGCAGCAAAAAACAACAAGCGTGTTATTTTAACAGCTATAAAAAAGCTAGCTTTGTCAAGCTGAAAATTACAAACAAGAAAAAGCTATTGACTTGGATATTGATGATTAAGAATTTAAAGGCATTATACTCTTACAAGAATATAAACAGCTCTTAATCTACTGAGTCCTCGACTATCTGTCACTCAATTTAAACATTATTCGTAATGGGCTTCAATGAATCTTGTTTACCAGCATTTCTCAACAAGAGACTTATTTAGTTTGCATGTGGACAACTTTTCGTTGCAAAACTATAATTTATTTGGTTTGACAACAGTTCTAGTGTACTTAAGCAATGACAAGCAAAGCCAACTTTGTTGTACAACATAAATTTCTAAATATTATTTGTAAATTTCTATTTGGTATTTGCTGTTGCCAAAGCAACTCATTGAAGAAAATTAGATACCCTTACAGAGTGGAATCCAACTTAATATGAATCTGTCAAAATGTTGAATACATAAACCAAATTTGTCACACAAAAATGCTTTATTTTATTTTAAATCGCATTTCTCAATCGATGGTTGCGATCAACATTATACTTTATAAATAAATATATTATAAAATATTATAAATGCCAAACTGTATCACAAAATTAGCATAACCTTCACAAGGGTATGCAAAATAAAAAGAAAGAAAGGGAAAATAAATTGCAGCGACATTTGAGTTTAATTTGGCCATAAAGTTCGCCACATTTAACACTGCAGGCTACAAAAAAGGCGATGTGCAGTAAAATAAATTAAATGCTACCTAAAACTTTATTTGCCAACTAAATAAATAAATAGAAAGACGCTGAAAGGCGGCCAAATAAAGAAACGGAAACTGCAACTGCAACTGCAACTGCAACTGAATGCGACCAAATCTTTTTTACGTACACTGAATGCAATTCAAAGCAATCGATTGCTTTTCAAATATTTAGCAATAATTCAACTTGAATTTTATGTTCGGCATTCAGCCAGGCCAGGCATAAGAAAGCAGTAAGCTCTTAAATATTAAAAGACAGACTTTATTTAATGCATTTTTTGTCATTTTAATTATTAATCAGAAAGCGAGTAGAGAACTTTTGGGAAAAATGTGTCACATCTTGATGTGTTCTCACATTCATTAGTGTTGACAGCAACTCTAATTCTACCTTGTTTTGTCAACTGCAATTAAATATTCCTAAATATTTAGTGGGTACATATTTGAGCTGTCTGCTTGAGTGACTGACAGGTGAAAACTTGAGCACATTCTCAACATTGACAGCAACAAACATAAACATTCTTTAATATGCACAAAGTTATTTTTGAAAGTTTTCAATCTAAGCAAATAAAAATTGTTCAATTATATGTTTAGAAATTTTTATAATAATTTTACAGCAAAGTTTGCTTTTCTAAGTTTGTCATTGCTTAGCAATTAAATTAAACTAAATTAAACATTTTGTTTATGTTCTCGACATTTTGACAATTTTATACATTTTTGTATACAAGTTTCGTCAAACACCAAATATCAAATAGAAACTTACAAATAATATTTAGAAATGTATGTTGTACAACAAAGTTGGCTTTGTTTGACATTGCTTAAGTACATCAAGTACAGTTAGTTATTGTTGTAAAGCAAATAAAGAAAAGTTCGCAACTAAAAGTTGTTCACATGCAAACTAAATAAAACTCTTGTAGAGAAATACTGGTAAACAAGATTCATTGAAGCCCATTACGAATAATGCTCTTAGCTTCACAAATTGAGTGACAGATATTCGTGGACAAAATAAATTGGCTGCTGAACATAGTCTTGCTGAGAGTACAGAAATTCATTTTGTAATCATTGAAGTAGAAGTCTTCGACTTTATAAAGTCAAAATATGTTATTCATCAGCAATATATAATAATATAGTTCCCATAACAGCAATCGATGTTGCTTTTAATTATAGTTAAATTTTATTAAAGGGGATGTAAATTTAATCTTTCCTAACTTGGCCACTCTCTGTTTAAATAGATATAATAAAGTAATAAAGTTGTACAAATAAATATTATTTTTATTTTACCATTTTAATTTAAGTATTTATTTTAAATACTTTCAAAACTTCGGGTTTTCAGTTATCTATCTCTTCTTTGACTCTGTCCCAGCTGAATTTGAATATAAAGAGAGATAGGAAAAAGTGCTGTGACAGTATTCTTTACAATCGAGTTTGCAGCAGTGCCTGCAGTCGTTGCACCTTGAACCACACAATAAACTTTGAATTACAATTTGAGACTGTTACATTTTAAGTACATTTCAGACCCAACTCGGCTTCGACGCACTGCAAGTCCAACAACAACAACAACAACAGAACCAACAATTCCAAGTTGACCTTTTGTGCAATTTGCCAAACAATGCCACTTGCCAGATGTCAAAATGAGAGAATGCGGCAAGGAGTGGCAAAGTGGCAAAGAATGGCAGCTCGTGTTGCGACTTTGGCCAAAAACTGCTCTCTTTACTCCTCATAGTAATCAAAAAATTTCGGTTCACAAAAAACAAAGTAGAAAAGTGCCATGATTTAGATAATGTTTAATAAGGCGCTAAGATAGCAGGTGCCACTAAGTACTCCTGCTTAATTAAACTCAAAGTTAAATTAAGTCAAGTTGAGATAACGCAATTTTATCAGTGAAAAAACTAAGCTACCAAAAGTCAAAGTGTTGACTGCTTACAAATATAAAATTATTTAATGGATTTTCTTTTTGAATAGATTTTCTTATGTTTTTTGTATGAAGTTCTGCTACTTAATTAAGGTTAAACTTGAATTAAGTCAAGTTAAGATAACGCAAAATTATTAAAGCACAAACTGTGCAAAAACAAAAATTGTTAACTGTTTACAAATATATATTCTTAATAGATTTTCTTTTTGAATAGATTTGCTTACCATTAAAAAAAAATAGATAAATCGCTCAATAGACAAAAATGTGCGATATGTTTTTGTATTATTATTGTTGTTTTAGATTATTTTTTGTGGTTTCTTTGGCCTCAGCCCGTTTTATGAGTATTTAATGCACAATATTTGTTGTTGCTGAGATTTTTATTTTCTTTTTTTCTGTTATAAATTTCGCTTTCAATTACAAAAGATGCGTTTCAAAATACGCCCAAGTGGCGAATTTGTGCTTTTTTTCTTGTACATTTTTGAAAAACACAAATTTTTGCTCAATTTTTATCGAGATGATAATTTTTTTGAAAACAATCACAAACACACACACACGCACACACACACACACACTGAGGCGTGACGTTGCGAACGCGGTCAGCGACAGAAGCGAACTGACTAAAGGCACGAGCAACGACCAACGGTTAATTTGTAATTTTGAATTTCTTTTTGCTTTAGCCGCGGCCAACGTTGCGTATGAGCGACGGCAGCAAACTGAAGCCAAATCGCGGCTAGCAAACGAACAAAAAGCAGCGAGCTTGCAGCGTGTTTGAGTCAAACATGTTGCAAGGCAAGCGTGTGTGAAATGCCGTCGCAGCAGAAGGAGGAGGGGTGAGGAGTGGGTGGAAAACAGTTGTTCGACAGCGTCGCTGGGGCTTATCACTAGAAATTAAGACAAAAGCCTGACTAACGTAAATTAAATGTGACCACCCAAAAAAAAAGGAAAAGTAAAAGAAACAGCCGCAGCAGCAGCAGTAAAAGAAGCACAGAATTGTCATTAGAGCACTGAGAGTTGTTGCCACAACTTAAACTCTGTTTTATTTTAACTAATTTACGGGTGCATTAAAAAAAGACACGAGCATTGTGTTCTGATAGTTTTAATTAAGATTGTTAGAGTTCTACTTTTACGTACACTCAGCGAAATAAATGTTTAAGTATCAACTTAACTTTGTTCCTAGTTTCTTTCTATACTTAAAATCATTGCAATTTTCTTTTAATTCTTTCTTTTAAGTATATTGATTCAAATTTGTTTTTGAAATAGCTCCTCAAGATTTTAATTTGTATATGAAAAGTTTTCAATCCTCTCAAAATACGCTTCCAACATTTAAGGCTGGCATAAATTAATAAAAATTTGCAAAGCCATTTCAACATTAGACCCACATCTAAAATTAAAGCATTTTCTATTAAAAATAATGAGAAAATTGTTGACAAAATATTAAAACTATTTATTTAGATGAACTAAACTGATCTCAATGGTGCACCCTAAAAAGTTAAATAGAATTTACAATAAATTAAATTGCAACTCTGTCTCAATGCCAACTAAAGCAACTAAAAGCAGACTGAGAACGCATCACATAAGAAGAAAGCAGTGCAGAGGGGAAGAGAGAGGAGAGAAGAGGCAAGAGCAAAGCAGCAAGAAAATAGCGGCAAATAAATTGACGTTTCTTATGGCGTTGGCCACTTTTGCAATGAGCTTGTTTTGGTTTTTGGTTTTGGTTTTTGTTGCCTTTAAATGATTTTCCATTTGCACATTTCACGCGGCTAAATTGTTTGCCTTTCAATTATTGTTGTTGTTGCTGCTGCTGCTGGCAAAATTTTCATTCATAAAAAAGGTGGAAACGCTTGCGGGCGAAAAACAATAAAATGCCACGAACAAGAAGAAGAAGAAGACGCAGAAGACGAAGACGAAGAAGACGCAACGGAAACGACAATAGCCCAGGCAGACAAACAGGCGTACGACAAGGGAAAAAGAGAAGGGGCCGGGGGGAACAGAGCTGGCTTACCCAAAAGGGCGAAAGCATAAGGAGAAGACGAAGAAGAAGAACAAGAAGAATGCGAAAGCGGACAAAGTTTTACTGATGTTTTTGTTGTTGTTGGTGTTTGTTGTTATTGCTTTTGTTGTCGCGTTCTTTACGTTTGTGTTTATTTATACTTATTAATACGCCACACACACACACATGCAAACATATGTGTGTGTGTGTGTGTGTGTGTGCGTATTTTGTATTTATTCGCTTTTTATAAGCAAAGCAAAATCGAAAGGAAAAAAATGTATTTTTGTGTGGAAAAATATGTTGTTTAATATTTACAGCGAAAAATTGGTTAAAAGAAAATCAGCTTGGAATTGTGACTGTAACTGTAACTGTATTTATTTGTGTGTGTGTGTGTTGTGTGTGTGTTTTATTGTAGTCTGTGCCTGGCTTGTCACATTGTTAAAACCTCAGAAAACCAAAGCACAGGCAAAACGGCATTTCTGTGGTTTTTGCATTGTGAGACAAGCCCCGACAACATCCTCCCCCGCCACCCTTCGCCCACTTCCCCTCGTTGTTAACCCCAGCAGAAGCGAAAAACATCTAAAGCAATATGTCGAGGCAGAAGCAATGGGGAAAAAAAGGGACGCACAAAACTGTTGGTCGATAAGGTTGTCCAAATCAAAATATTGAGACTCTCAGACAGACAGCAAGGAGAGGATGGCGGGGGGAGGGGAGACGAGCTGACAGGCAAAACGAACGAGCGGAGGACTTGGGGCTGATGCCAAGTTTGAGTTGAGGCTCATTTTGATAATACCCTACAAACACTTAAGAAAGGTCGCAATCTTAAAACCGAACATCTAAATTTAATTTAATTTATTTAAATAATTAGTTAAACTCAACTAATTTATAAATAAATAAAGATTGCATGCAGGAATTAAAGAAAACCCTTAACGATATTTTAAGGCAGATCAGAGTTAAGGAATTTCAGGAAGGACATTTAAGTTAAAATCCTTAAAAATCATCTTTGAGTTAACAAATATGTGCAAAACAAACATAAGCAAAGGAATCGAGGCATTATATAAATCGGAATCTTTAACATTTTATGGATGGACATTCAAGTAAAAAGCGAAATCGTTTTTAAAAAAAGCAGCTCAAGGAAAGGCAGCTCAAACAATATCAAAACAGTCAAAACAACATCTAAGGAATCAAAACAAAATCAGGGATTAGATAAGATAAAGCCAGAACAATCCACTTAAGCTATGACAAAAACCTGCAAAGAATCTAGACGTTTTTAAGAAATTCGAAATCCTCACAGAAATCCTTGAAATACATCAATTTTGCATACCCTACAAAATATAAGCAAAAGGCTTGATTGAATTCTAAATGAGAAATTCATGGAAACTACTTTTAGAGCCGTAAGCGAAAATCTTGAAAAAATTTTTAAACAATAAATATAACTTTAATCCTACGAGGGAAACTTATAGAAATTACTTTACCTGCCAACTTGACTCTGAAATGTGAGATTTTCCAATCAGATAAATATCAGTTGCAGTTGGTTCAGATCACTGAACTCTTTCCACTTTAGTTATTGTTGATTTCTCAAAAATTAATATTTATTTCGTACAGGGTATTTCGTAGTCAGTCAGTCTCGTGCTCGAGACTGTTTTTTATATTTAGTGCCCCGACGGCAGTCGCACACTGGGTTAAAGTTGAGCCGTCGACTTAGACTTTAAGCTTGCCTCGAATTTTTGAATTATTTCTTGAGTTTTATGCGCTGCGGAAAGAATGGGAAAGAACCTTTGACATGGAGCATGGGGCATGCAACAAAAACAGCAGCAGGCAGCAAAGCAGCCAGCCAGCCAGCCAGCCAAGCAAAAGGGTGCCACATAAAGCATACAACAGCTGCTGGATATTTAATATTTGATTTTAAATGCAAAAGATTTATTTTCATTTTAAATTTAATGCGGCATTAAGTAATATTGACAAAGTGCAAACTTGATTGACAGTTGAAAGAGGGCCAAAGTCCTTGTTTAAATGATAAGGACACAGCCTTCTCAGAAATGTGTTGTGCTCTTTTCGAGCTTATAACAAAGCAAATTGAATCGCTAACACGTTTACACTCAATAAGTATTTCCTAGAATCTTATTTACACGTTTAGAAATTCCAAGAAAACAAAACGAGAGAAGCAAACCCGAAAAAGGGTTTGAGTTGGCCATAATTGAATCAAAATTCAATTTCTAAGAAGTGTGCAATTTCATTTACTAGAAATTAATTAATAAACGAAGTAGAACATATTAAAACATAAGCCCAGCAGACCGCAAATTTAAGCTGCATTTGTTTAAAGTATAAAATATAATACATAATAATTTAAGCAGGGATTTAGTTGGCTATTAATTCGCAATTAAAACAAGCAAATAACCAAAATACAGTTGAAAGTGTTTAAGAACGCTTTATAATATATTATATTTGTGTACTAAATGATAATTGAATAATTTAAACTGCGTCAAAGATCTCGCAAAAGTCAAATTTGTGAAGAACACTTTCTGAAAATTAGTTAAATTAAAAAATTTGCTTCTAAAAATATTTCAACATTTTAGCAACCTTTCGCTCAGAAATTAATGGGTTGATTTTTGTTTGAAAATTATTTGTTTCCACGGCTAAAAATTGACATAACCCAAAAATGCTGAAGGACAAATCTTGAACATGATAGCCAAATAAATTTTGTTTTTATTTCTGTTTTGTGTGTCGATTTTTGTTGCTATTTTTGTGAATTGTAGCAATTATGTGTGGCACAAATAATGCATGCCTCATTTACTGATGCACCTGACGGCTTATTAAAATTCAACAACAACGAGTTGGCCAAATCTAAATGTGCACAAATACTATAAAAAGGTTGCATGTCTTCCTGTTTGTCAACCAGCCAGCCAGATAACAACAACAATAACAACAAGAATAAATACAAAATGAAATTGTGATAGCAAACAAGTCAAAGAGAGGAGCAACAAACTGAAAACTGGTCGAGCAGTTGCCACATTCGATTTGCGTCAACATCGTCGTCGGGTTATTGGTTGTGGTTGTTCTTCTTGTTGTTGGTTGGTTGTTGTTGATGTTGTTGGGTGCCCGGACATAAATGCAAACCGCACCCCCTGCCAACCGCACACCACAGAACCTCCCTCCTCCCACAAAGCCATAGAAACCAAGTGGCGAGCAACATCCGGAGGGTAGGAAAAACCAGCTACACTCAGCGGAAAATAATAGTACTTAAAATTGCCTGAAAATCATTATTCGAAAATATAATTATTACAATTGCTTTCAAAGAGAATAATTGAATAATATTGAAAGCCAGAATTGCAGTAGAAGGTTCAATTTTGATACTTGAACAATAATTTGACTTGACGAATCGAACTTAATTTAAATGAACTGTTCCGGATCCGGATTATTTTCCTGTCAGCAAATCGGGAAATTTTCATATTTAATTCATTGATTTCGATTAACGATTTCAATTCAACTTTGATTTCTTGTCGAGAAATCGGAGAATATTGAATTTGAGATCCAGTTCTGGAACTGAGTCTCAATCGGATTGTTTCGGTTCACGTTTTCGGTTCAGATTTGATTTCCAACCAGATAATCAGCGAATGTAGATTTTGGTTCTGGTTCTGAATTTCAAT